AGGTCTGCTTGATTTGTGGGATGTGTAGATGTTTGACACATGTTTGAAGTAAAAGAATGCAGTAACTAGAGGTAAATGAAGAAGAAACGATACCTGAGGTTAGCTGAGGTTACAGTCTGGTCACTGTGCGGATGATGAACGGAGAGATTGTGTGTCCACCTAACTGCCACAGATGTGCATGTCTTTAAGTGGATACCTTCTCAATTTATCAACCTTGTAGCTGCTAGTCCTGCCCCTACAGGTCATACCTTAGACTAACCTGAAGTCAACAAAAGTAAATTAAACACCTTGGCCTGCCTTAGCAAGAAGACAATCCCAAGAAAAGGCAAGCACAGTGATTTCTGTAGTGGTTACCTTCTCAATTGTTTCACAGTGACAGTGACATTCAAGTTTGCCACACAGTGACATTCAGGTTTGCCTACACCTGCAAACACATGCAATGTGACATATTCTATTGTCACTGTCTAGACAGCCTGTCTGAAAAATACAGCCTTTCACAACATGATGTTGTGTTCTACCAGGGGCTGCACTCTCATTGGAGCTCACAAGCAGCATGTAAAATAGGGCCATAAGAAGAGCCCCCCCTCTTTTGAGTGACATTGTTGTTTATGTTGTTTTTCCTGGATTTGAGATGTGTTTTATGTGTGGTTTTGTGTTGGGGGGGTTTGACTTTTATTAACCTATGGGTTGGAGCTTACCACTGGGAGAAGGTATAGAGCTAGGAGTGACCTACGCTCATATTCAGTTAATTCAGCAGTGCCTCATTTTCTTTTGCTTGTCTTGATAAAAGAGCCTTTTTCCAAGCTGAACATCACTTCTCCTGATTGTTCCACTGAGTGATACCACATTGATGTCAGAAGTGGGATCTTGCCGCTGACACAAAAGCTCAGAGTGTAGGATAAAACTCTGTGGCAGGCGGGGAAGATGAAGACAAGGCAGCAAAGAGAAGCCAACAGCAGGAACAGAAAGCACTCCAGGCACTTGTGGACTTACCAGTAGAGCAGCATGGTGACTTTGCATCGTTGCCAGCAGCTCTCCAGTGACGATTTAGGGAAGTATCAGCAGCGCTGTTTGGGAAGTAAGTTCAGGAGGAGTTGGTGTTGGAGTGTTTCCTGAATACGCTGTTGCAGAACAAACTGAGCCAGAATGTGCAGCTCACTAATCCAACTAGCCTACAAGCTGCCATTGCAGAAGCTGAAACAGCAGAACTCATCTTCAACAATGAGGCTTTGAAGTAACACAGTGTTACACAGCAGAACACAGTGTTGCAGAGCAGTCTGAGGAGGAGCGGTGAGTGAGATGGCCCGCAAGCAGCATGGGTAGTGTGTTGGTGATGCGGAAAAAGGCGATATCTCACTCGCCATGCCGCAAGCCTTAGCTGGCAGAAAACAAGAATGGGGGTCAGGCAGCCCCACAAGAGAGTTACCTTAAGTGTTGGCGTTGGCGTCCCCACACCGTGAGAGGTACCCTGGAGGATACCACTGTACAGCTCAACTCCATTACTGGTTTCTGAGTCGACACGAGAGGGAAGAAGTGGCTCCAGATTGTACTGGGAGGTCTGAACCAAGTGCATGAATTCTGGCTTGCACCCATGCATCATGCCTGTATACTTAGTTTAGACTTTCTGGTGGTGACGGGAGCTGTAATCAACGCTATGCAAAGGCTATGTTGAGTCTGGAAAGGAGGCAAGGAATTAGCGCACAGAATACAGTGGCGGAGTCGATGTGGAGGGTCGAGCATCCCTGGCAGTGAGGCCTCCACCTTCCATGAGGTAGGCCTCTGACACTAGAGGAGCTGAACACACAGTGCAAGAGCCTTTGGTCAGATCCCCAAGGGTTGTGGGCGGTGTACACAAGCAGTTCATCCACCAAGAGCAATGGCCCAGCAGACAACGGAGGCGGCGGACTGCGCAGAGGGCAGCAGTGGTGAGTACAGTGGAGGTTTGTGCTAGGGCTGAAGCTGTGTGTGAGCTATGGCAGCAGAGTTGGTCAGGCTTGGCTGAATGCCAGAAACAGATGTTTTGGGAGCTTTTGAGCTGTTATAGTGACATCTTTGTGGTGACTGAGTAAGAATGTACATGGACTGATTTGGAGTAGCAATGCTCCAGTTTGGATCCACCCTCACAGGCCCCTGTTAGTAAACAGAGAGGCTGCTGAACAGAAAACAGAAAAAAGGTAGCGGCACGGGTTACTGAGCCGTCAAATAGCCTGTGGGCGGTGCCAGTGGTCCAAGCAAAGAAAAAGGATGGAAGCTGACGATTTTGCCTGGACTACCGGTGGCTTCATGCTGTATCTAAGCCCAACTCGTATCTGCTGCTGCACATTAATGATGCCTTGGACTGGCTCACTGGCTCTGCATGGTTCAGTTCGCTGGATCTGTGGAATGGGTATTGGCGGGTGGCACTCGCTCCTGGCACCAAAGAAAAGATGGTATTCTCGCTGGGCGCTGAGTTGTGGCATTTTACGGTAATGGCTTTCGGCCTCTGGTTGGGTTACGTTGGTAATGACGTATGTTTCAGTAACACACCATTTTCACATTTCCATGTTCGTTAATGCGAAAGAGTAAATAGTAGCGTTAAACGGTTTCTGGTTGCATTGTAAACGATGGCTGATACTGCCAGAAATCATTGCTGTGTTCCTAAATGCACTAATAATTCAAGTAAACAGATTACCCAAGTTTACACTTGATCAAGTTTAAAAATGTTCAACTTCAGCTGAAGCTCCACTCGTCACGTGTCATTTTTAATGAGGTAACCGACCAAAAAAGAGAGTAAAACTGAACTGGAGAGTGAACGTGGGCTGTACAGTGAGACTGATTTACACACATTTGTGACTAAAAGTCCTCAGCTCCAAGACAAATATTCATTTACTGACATACTTACTCTCCTGGAGATTGTCATCACAGTGGTCTGCTTAAAAACCTTGAGAAATAGACTCCTCACCACAGAAGCTTGGTGATTAGTTTAGTGTAATATAGAAATACGATGCTGTGTCTCTGTGCTGGTTGTGGTGTCAAGGGCACTTGCTAATGTTTCTAATGTTTTACACGGACTGATCAGGAAGAATTAAACCTGGTGGAATTTTTATCTACTCCAAAATGAAGTGCAGTGAGTGCAAATATGTTTAGGGATGTGTGATGTGGTGATAAAGATCTGCTGTGCAAAACCTATCTCGGGCAGATTCCTCACGGTTCAGACGTGGATTTTTTGTGAAATACGTTCCGCCGTCTGAACGCAGCTTCTTTGACACGGAGATGAGTTTTCAGAAGTGGAACGCGTGGCACTGGTCATACAAAGTTTACATGTTTTTAAGTTTTGCGCGATGCACTTCGGCCAAGTCAAACTAGCCTTTCCGTCCATGTTGGAAGAACTACCAGACATGCCAACTGCTCTCCGTTTAACCGCACTGAGACTGAAAACCGGCGATCCTCCATTCGATAACGCTACTATTTGCATACGGATGTGACGACGCGTCTGTAAAAAAGGTCTATTATGTAGCTGCGCTGGTGACATGGATTTCAAACACGGATGCAGTAGAGATAGAGGTGCATCATCTGCCCTCCAAACTCTTCAAAATTCTCTGGCATAAGCATGAATCTTTGCCGTTCTTCTTGAATTCCAGCACTTCCATCACTCTGGATTTGACGTTGTTGTTTGTCGCGACACGTTGACACGTTGAAATCCGATTTGAGCAGTCAGAGCGTCCAGACTGAGACACGTGAAAACATCTGTGTGGAATCGCATTTCAAACCATCTCCAAATGTGGTTTAGATTTGATTTGCAAAAACTGGATTCCTTATGGGTTATTTTCCTGCCAGACTATCAAAAATCAACCTGGATTCGGTCTGCATATGCCAAATATCAGATTTGGGCTGGCAGTCTAAACATAGGCTTATTGTTTCTCGCCACCCCAGCAAACACACAACATCGTCACAACATTGGCTACTTTATTTCAGCGTTGTTGCAATGTTGTCAAAAGGTGGTGCTGTTTACATTGTCTCAACAAGATGGTCATAACGTTGTCACAACCTCATTTTTCAGTAATGTTGCCGTAAAGTATTATGACTACCTGTGGGCAACTTAAGAAAATTCCATGGAGTTCAATGCACAAAATAATGGAACTTAGGAGGGTTCTAGAAGATTGTGACGTTGCCACTACGTTGTCACAAAGTTACATTTCTTTGCTGTGACAACATTGTGGGCACCAAAACAATAGGTTGTCACAGTGTAACGTGTTTGCTGGGACGTTATGACACGTTCTGATTGACGTGAAGTAAAAATTCAATTGTGAAACGCAAATTATTGTGCGTGACGTCACTGCTGACGTCATATATTCGGTACTTTAAATGTCAGCACTCACAGTTTAAAATACTTTCCCGCGTGCCTGACTACACCCCTCAGTCTTATGCTGAATATTACATTTGCAGTGAACGTTATCTACCGGTTTGACTGCCAGCAAAAATACTTTTTAAAAGCAGGTTTGAGGTTACCTCGCTCTTTATTTTTTAGGCCAAGAAAAAAAAAACATTCTTCTAGATATTCCTTTGCCACGCTATTATTCTTCCAAAGTTCAGGGAAAACTTCAGCAGTGGGTCACTCGTCCTCTGAACCCAGCCATGACACGGACCTGTTTTTCCCGCCTGTATTAGGGAAAGACCCGCCCCCGCGGCGCTGGGATTGGCTAGTATGCCTAGCGTCCTGCGCTGGGATTGGCTGGGGCTGGTAAGCAGTATCTCGCCTCCTGCGCCAGGACTTCATCATAGTTCATTCATACCCGCGAGCATTCCGTCTAGTGGTCATCCACAGAGGGAATTGCGCGAGCGTGCGAACTACTAGCCAATCGCAGCGCAGGAGGAGAGCCGCTACGAGCCAATCAGTGCACTACCTGCGAGTCCGAGCTAGCCAATCCCAGCGCAGTGAAAGTGGGATTTGCCGGAATACGGGTGGGGAAAATCACATAACGCGTCTCAAAGTGGATGCTGTAGCTTTGAGTTCAGAGTCAACGGAGTCCGTGCAGGGCGGAGAAACAACAACGACGCTTTAGTGCAGTTTTTTTTCGGGCTGTGAGCGAATTTATTAGGCCGTTTTTAGACACTTGAAGCAACGACTGACCACACGGTGAGCTTATTAGCTTTTTTGTTTTCTTTTTTATTTGGGTTGTATTGTTGAAAGGTCATCTATGTAAAATACTAACTGTTAGCTTTACAGTAACTGTTCTTGTTTAGGCTGACTGTGTGATGCCTCAGTACGTCTGTGTCTATTAAAATATATCAATGAAGTGAAAATGTAAACATTTAATATCGAAGCGGTGTGTTAAAGAGCGCAGAGAAAGCATTTTAAGACCCAGTGTTAAAAAATCCGCTCTCGTTTTTCTCTCTCAGGAGATGGACAGCAACGTGGTGCAGATTTTTAAAGAGGACAAATGTCCATCTGCCCAGGTCGAGGACTGTGCTCCAAACTTACCCTGGCAGTCCGGCCTCCCGGACATGTACAACTACTCGGTGAATGAGAGCTGGTCTGAGGAAGCGGAGCCGCTGTCCCCCATCATCCCCGTGATAACGGCCGTGTACTCGGTGGTGTTCGTGGTGAGTCTGGTGGGAAACTGCTTGGTGATGTATGTCATTATCAGGTAAGAGGACTCGTCCTGGTGCAGTCACTGTGTTGGCCCTGAGCTGTGGCTCTGTGGCCTGACGCGATATTCTCGTTGGTTTGTGCTGTAATTGGATTATAAGGTTCGTAGATCAGTTTAAACGTAGGCTGCAGGTGAATTTGCCCTCATGAGATTTTTTTTGGGGGAAAAGCTTTGGTCAAGGGTTCAAGCGCAGTGTTTGCAGAAGGTGGTTTGGCGCCCCCTCGTGGATCACGGGATTCTGGCCTCATATCTAAGAGAACATGAATTCAGCACAGGTTTAAGGAAACCAGCATCTTAGTTTTAAGTGACGGCCAGCAGAAAACAGTGACTTATAAATCCATTTAGACTTGTATTTAAATGTAAACAGTACAGAGAGAGGTTATTTAATGGTTTGCCTTATGAGCTTCATTGTTTTTTTTGTAAACATACATGTTCTCTGAAACTGATGTTTGCATCACATTCCAAAAAATTGAGACAGGACAATTAAACCCTGTAAACATAGTGAAATGTTCAAAACACATCTTAAACTGGTGAATGAAATGAGCTTGAGTACAAAAGGAAGCACCCAGGAAAGGCCTCATCCTTTATGAGCAATGAATGGCGAATCTGTCCACATTGCCCAAAACTACATCAGCATTTAATGAACAGTGTTCTTCAACAAGCAGCTGTTGCACAGCTGGAAATTTGCATAATGGAAGAAATGGCAAAAAAAACGTTGCTTTCAAAACTGGATTAATTGGTGTCTTCGGTCACCGAACGATTGTTAAATGTTAAAATGGTGAAATAACACAGGAGTAAACATGCTCCTGTCCCAACGTTTTTGGAACTTGTTGTAGGCTAAGTTTTTGGTGTGGGCATATATTTACCAAACGATAAGGTTCGTAAGGTCATAATATTTCCCAGACCCTTAACTTCAGTGTTATAAATGCAGAGGCTAAAAAAATTCACAGGATGTTTTGGGACCTCTTGAAATTTCTAGATCAAACTATTTACCTGCTAGAGGTACAAAATATATAATACATTACTGTCCATGTGTTTTCATCTGGGCTCTTTGACAATTTTCTGTAGATACACTAAGATGAAAACCGCCACCAATATATACATCTTCAACCTGGCTGTTGCGGACGCCCTGGTGACCACCACCATCCCCTTTCAGAGCGCGGACTACCTGCTGAACTCCTGGCCCTTTGGAGAGGTGGTCTGCAAAGTCTTTATCTCCATCGACTACTACAACATGTTCACCAGCATCTTCACCCTCACCATGATGAGTGTCGACCGCTATGTGGCAGTCTGTCACCCAGTCAAGGCCCTGGATTTCCGCACACCTGTAAAAGCTAAGATCATCAACATCCTCATCTGGGTTCTGTCTTCTGCTGCTGGAATCCCTGCCATGGTCCTCGGAAGCACTCAGACCAACAATGGTAGTTGGTAGTTGATACCCTTTACAAGCCTGAGGCTGTGAATACACGTTATGACTATAATAGCTTTAAGAGAATAGTCTCTTAAAAAAATATATTTTTATATAAAATTTTACAATTTTCCCCTCACCACAAATGCAGTCAATCAGCCAAGACATGCTTGATGTTTACAGCTTGCTTCGTTAGTTCTGCATTGGAGTTATGAGGCTGATATAAATAATAAGTAATGGAAATCTTACAAATTGAACTCACAAGACACCTGGGCATAAGTGTCATTAGGACACCTTTAAAACATAATAATTTATTCTCAATTATTGTGCAATAGTACATTATATCATGCACGGTTATATTTCTGCGCATTGTTATTAGTGGGCTTGAGGCCATTTCACAAGCTCTACACTATTAGGTCAAATTTCCCAAATTAAAACTTGTTCAGACATGATGTTGACACGATTACAAGTGCAGGACACAAATAAAATCGCAGCTCTTGTGATTTAAAATTTGTACTCTTTCAAATTGTGATTGTGAAATTGTGAAAGCTATTATGCAAGGTACCTTTGTCCGTTTCTGTACTGTACATTTTTTACAGTGTCAGAACCATATAGCAAAGTCTGTTTGAGACATATGCGATTTGAGAGGAGTGTTTGATGATTTGGACTTGCAGTATATACAATGCTAACTGGTTGCTAGGAGGTTCCATTGCTTGTTAGCTACATTAGCCTTGTATCTCCAGCGCATAATTAAAGAAGCAAACTTAAGACACCAAACATATTTTGGCTGATGACTACATTTAGGGTAAGTTCTCTTAATTTGGTAAGGGAAAGTTCTCTTAATTTGACATTTGGCTGAGCTATTGCTTATTTTAAGAGGCACACAGACAGCCTTGCTGATGTGATTTAGGAAAGTCACAGTTTATATATTTGTGGTAGATCTTTTCACAGTATATTATGTTCCTCATAAACAGGACCACATAAACCTCTCCAGAATGAGTAATGACCTTATCCCGTATGTTCCCCTAGGCACCACTGAATGTGCGCTTCAGTTCCCTGACCCCTACATGTACTGGGACACGCTGATGAAGATCTGTGTCTTTATCTTCGCATTCGTAGCACCTCTTATTATCATCACTGTATGCTACACGCAGATGGTAATGCGGCTGAAGAGTGTACGGCTGCTCTCAGGCTCACGTGAGAAGGACCGCAACCTGCGGCGTATCACACGCCTGGTGCTGGTGGTGGTGGCTGTTTTTGTGATCTGCTGGACGCCCATCCACATCTTCATCCTGGTCAAGGCTCTGGCGCCTGGAGTCCCTGAGACCACGGCGGTGATGGGCGCCTACTTCTTCTGCGTGGCGCTGGGCTACACAAACAGCAGTCTCAACCCCATCCTCTACGCCTTCCTGGATGAGAATTTCAAGCGCTGTTTCCGGGACTTCTGCTGCCCAGGCCGTGGCCAGGCAGACGGCCAGGGGATGCTGCGGGTCAGGAGCACCATCCGCGAGCACGCATGTCCGGTGGAGGGCAGAGGGGATGGTGGCCACGGCAGGCCTGTATGACTAGCCGTGGAGCTGTCCTCTTTCCAATGCCAGGAGGACTCGAACGACCTGGGACTAACACAGATCACCACTGCCATCTGAAGGCTGATTTATACTTCTGCAAAGATGCATGTGTTGTGTAGAGACGCAGATGAGGACTTTGTGGGTAAACGTAGCTTGCAGACACACACAGAGCCCCCAATTTCATGCATTTTCCTCATTGATGTCACATCCACCATTCTGAAGTGGGATAAATTTAAAAAAGGAATGAATGAACCCACTTTGACCACTTGCAGACATAGAGCTGGTCATTAGCTAACTGATAACAGCCAAGCCACACGTACAAACATGGAGTTGGTCGTTTGCTACAACTTAGCTAACTAGCAGGCTGCGCTGCTATCAGAGTAAGGTAAGTTCACATCAGTTAATGTTACAAAACAACAGAAATAGTTAGTGTTAGCTATCGCTTACATTAGTTTCAAGAGATCCCAGCTTACTGAAATCATTAGCAGTCAGCAACGGCAGTCAAGAATAAAATGAACACACATGGCTATCTGATGCTAGCTGAAAGTGTGTATCGTGTGTAGTTGGGGGTGTTTTTCACCATAGAGTTATGACAAAAATCAAAATGCATCTTGGAGTATGACACTGCATAAAGTCTACAGTTTTATTACACTCCCTACTTTGAGTCAAATCACGTGTTCAAGGGTTTGCTGGTAGAAATTTCTCTTGCTCCTTTTGAGAATTGAAATACACGTCAAGGTGGCGCTAGGGAGTGCCTTTTTTGTGTAATGAAATTGCAGGGGATCTTAACTTCTGCTGGGCTGTGCCTCGAGCTTACACTGACTGTTTGAACAGAGAAGTAGGTCATGACTGTGAAATTTCTGGCAATTAATTGCCATATATATAATTGAAATTAACAGTTATCAAGTGTCTTTTTCGTTAACTGTTTGCAGCTGTTAAAGTATAAACCTAAATAGCCAAATTGGCCAGTTAGCTATCTTACTTCCTACCTATCAACACTTAGTAGCTCCCAACTGACGATGGAAACATTTAGAGCTCAAATAAACAAACATTACACTGCCCTCCAAAGGTTATAGCACCAAGTCAGATGCTAGACCCATGATGTGTCTCAGTAAATATGTTTTCTCATTTATTTGCCTCAATCCAACCCAATTCACATTCTGTTTGTTGCATAAAATAGGATTATGGTTGTGAAAGTTGACAACTGTTAATTGCGATCAGCTAAAATAATTGCAAATAGGTAAATAAGGTGAATAAGTAATAATTCTGACAGGTTTAGAGAGAAGTACATCTGATAGTGTTGGGGTTTGGGGAGACAGAACTAAACAAAATGCTGTGTGATAAAAAAAATAATACCTTCATTATCATATCCACATTACTTCTTCTGTCCATTCTCTCTGTGCTACAATTCACACAAGGCTTTTTTTCCAGGCTGAAAACAGTTTCTTGCTCATTTTCTGGACATTCTGGTTTAGTCAGTGCCACACTGCCCCCCAATGAACATGTCAGTGTTACTTGTATGTACTGTTGACAGTCACTGAAATATAATTTGGCCTTTTTGAGGACAGCTGCAGCAGAAGAGATGTGTCTTTTTGGTGTGAGATTCCCATTATTTGGGAATGCAAGAGGAATTCCTGATACGTTCCTTGAAATCAGTATTTAGCTTTAGCTATGAGCAGCCATATTCATAGTTTTTAGATTGGGCCTGTTTATAAACCCTAATAAATAAATGCTAAACCAATACATTTTTAAAATATATGTTTGGTTATAGTCTCAGAATCAAGAATGTCTCAAAATGTCAAAAGTGCTATGAAACCTGATTAAGTCTCTGGCAAGATGCAACTACTATTAAGAACTAAAACATACATACAGTCAGAGTAACTCAGCCTCTCTTTAACTCTGGCACTGGTCCCTTTTTCTTAAAAGTGATCTGTCCTGCCTCACTACCTTTTGAAATTCCTAAATACATCCTGAAGTGGTTGTGATGCTGTCTATTCTTGAAACATCAACCACAACCTGCCTTTGTCCCTTGTTCTTTCAGCATCTGTTTTTTTGTGAGGATTCTGACAAGACATATTTGAATGCCTAAGAGCCAGTGACCAAGGACAGTGATGAAAGATGAATAGTACAGATTAATACATATTGCTCTCTGTTATTTTATTACAGAATTACATTTTTCATATATTTACATTTGTCACAGAAAACAGTGTAATGCAAACAGAGTCTGATGCAATGGTCTTTATGTTTAAATTCATAGGCGGAAAAATGAAATGAAAAAAGAACTGTTTTTTTTTTTTGCAAGTATGTGGATCTATGAATGTGATTACATGACTTCTAGACTGTGAAATAACTGTTCTACACAAACAAGACATATGTTTCAACCAAGTAACATGATCATTACTCAGGAAACAATGGCATTGTCATAAGCTACAGTTACTTTGGGCAGCAGGAGAACAAAGCTTCTTTATTTTTTACAGCGTAGACGTTAGACATTCAGAGCTGCTCGTGGTTTTGTGTACTGAACTGCTGTGAAATGCTTTATGTGTTTACCTCAAGGGAAAAAAACCTCACTATGCTCACTAAATATGCTCACTCTATTGTGCAAGATACTCCTAGATGTCAAATGATAGTTTGATATCTTGCAATTAGGGCTGCCATGATTACGCAAAAACAAAAAATTGATTAAAATTTACATCCTACATTAATTTGTTTGTAATTTAAATGATAAACAGGGTATTTGCAGGTCATATAGTGAGCATCACTGAAGGAGAGGAAACCCACACTAGCAGGATCTCACAAATGCATGTATATATTTTGTTACAAACTGCAGGCTAACAGAGTAAGCCAATTATCAAAAGATTCACTTAAAATTGCAATTTATAAACTTATTAATATGCCACTTGTAACATTGTCTGTTACAAGCGTCATATGCTTTGAATGTTAAAAGCAGAGCTGGCCTAAGTAATATTAAACCATGTGTGAGAAGTGAACATCACTTGGCACTAACAAAACATTGTGCTAGCTAGCGCAATGAAAGATTTCTCAAAATTACTTGAAATGCTCTTTTCTCTCAGTGAGAAACATGATGGATGCACATTTTTATGCATTTTCTGCCGTATAGTGTTTTATTTATATATGAAGTATTGTTAATGGCTTCTTTTTTATCCTGTTCAGTAAAACATTCTGGAATCTTTGAAAGGCTCGGTATAGTGTGCTGTTGTTCAGTTAAGCCCATTTTTCTTGTTTGGCTTTAAAACTAAAATTATTGCTCCATTAATCGATGGATTATTTTGATTACTCATATAATCAATAATCGATAGTGACAGCCATACTAATAATAGCTAGTCATCTTCAGTGGATGTGCCTTGCAAAATGTGGGCAAAGCTTTCATTGGCATAATGCTAACTGACTTCCATCATCTCTCATTCATTATTAGCAACTTTAGCATGTTTGGGGTGAAGTTCAGCTTTTATTATCAGTGATTACGCACAGAATGTTCTTATGATAAATGGAGAACTTCACCCCAAGTGTGCTAATGTTGGCAATAATGAATGAGAGTCAGAGGGAGTCACTTAGCAGTTAGCTTCGCAACAACTCACTAAAAACTTGAATCTGTACAGAACTGGTTTATGTTGAGTACCATTTAGTGTTCTTTCTCTGAATGTAGAAGAAGAACATTCATCTCTATTGTGTTTCTGTTGAAGCCAACAAAGATTACTAGATAAAGGTGTTAATTAGCCTGGTCATATATTAATTAATGCTAATAACTGTCTCCCATTGACTCTCATTCATTATTAGCAACTTTAGTGTGTTTGGGGTTGGGGATAAGTTCCCTACTTAATATCAGTGATTACTGAAAGAATAGTCTTATCATAAATAATAACACTGATATTGGAATCGTGGTTCGGAATCGTGAAATTGTCCGAAGCGGGACACCACACACACTGTAACATAAAAAACAAAACCATGCGATTCATATATACCTCCAGGGTCAAGTGGGCGAAAATATATATATCGTTCTTGCTGTGGTGTTTATTAATGTAAGTGCTGATTCTTTACAGATTGTACATGGTTTTACATGTAGATAATAACTAGTGACTACAGCTGTATCTACAATGCAAAATATTCTCAAAGGTATTCAGACTTTCTAAGCACATTTTATTTTCCAGTGTCCTACCCAGGAGAGGAGTTTATGTGTGACTGTGGTATGTGTGTCTGTAAAACTGGCTGAAATCATTTCATGTTATCATTTTGTGTTATCAGTTTGTGTTTTTTATGCCTTAGTAATTTTTAGCTTTTAAAAAAGGTAATGCCTGTTGTGCCTATTGTTAGTTCATGGTTGAGCAGTATGAATGACTGCCATCAGTCATTATCGCAGTGCATTTACTGGATTTTCTAAATGTTTTCTGTCATGCTCAGATTTTCAGTGTCATCTTTAGAGCAGTAAAACTCTAATACTAATACTAATACTTAATATAATGTGGTTGTATTATATCAGATACAGAAAATATATTGCCTATTTGCTATTCATGCTTGCTTTTTGTAATATGCTATTGGCTTTTGATTGCTGAACTTTTCTCTGAATACAGTTATCATGGAATCTTGTCTGTGCCAACAGTTACAGTATTACCTGGCTTGTATATGACATGTATATGAAACTTTACAATCATCACTAAAAGCAACACTACAATAAAAGAAGACTGATTATATATTTATGTTTTAGTGCTGTTTTAATCAATGAAACTATGCAAGTTTACTCTTTATCTTCTGATTGTAACAGTTAGTTATACAGGGGTATGTGCCCTAATAGTATACCGTCATTGTTCCACAACAGGGTAAATTATATATTGTAATATATATATAATATACGCCATGTGACAGTATCATGCTCCTCATTAACACCTTGTATTCCCTCTTACTGAGCTCCACCTACCTATAACTCCACTATACAGCTGTACAGTTTAGACCATCTGTTCTCATGCATGTCTATCAGCCAC